GAGGCGGAGGGGGAGGGGAGGGAGAGGAGGGAGAGGAGGGTGAGGAGGGTGAGGGCTGAGAGGGTCATAGTTGGTCTTTTGAGCAAGCAAGGAGAAGTTTGTGTGTGTCGTGTGCATGAGTTGGGGTTCTTGGGATGTGTGTGTATATATAACGTGGAGATGGAGGCAAAAAAGAATCTTAGAGGGAGTCCTCATAGAAATTCATACGGGGAGTAAGTAGAACAACACATGTGATGCTGAGTACAACTTTAAAGTTAATGATTGTATTGATATAATATTCTGTCCTTACGAGTTGATATAATATCATGATTGAACTGATATGATATTCCAGTACAATAGTCTAATTCCGGTCACATTGATTGTACAATTATTATATGTTGATTGTGTTGATTAAGAATTGATAGTTTTCAGATGTCATGTTCTTCTTTCTTCCTATATGATTTTCTATAGAGAACCGTTTTATTTTATATTACATTTCTTTCGAGATGAACGCGCTATAAGTATTAAATATAGATTCAGATCCTCTTTATTGTGACCAGGCACATAAAAGATCTTCTTCAAGAATAAGTTGAATAACTATCTGCATGCGCTTTAGTGGACAATTATGATTATAAACTAAAAATAGAAGCCTAATTTAAGAGAGGAGTATAATTTTACTGCATTAGGTATGGATTAGGGTCCCGAGATTTCATCTGATGTTAACAAAGTTGATGCGGGGATGCGTGACAACTTTCCCCCACTAAATATCCAGCCACGGGTTCTTTTTGACCCACAAATCCACTTTGTGATGAAGCATGTACGATGTGTTGCCTAACATCAATTCTCATTGTTCGGACCGTTACTTGGTTGTCACACGTTATGGTGAGCTAAATTTTATGCCCAAGACTAGATCAAATCAAAACTCATTTAGTTTTTAGTTGCTATTTTTTTTTTAAAGAATTGATGGTTACGATGTGGCGGTTCATTTAACAAAATGGGCTATCAAGAGATAAAATGGTGAGGTCCACATCATTTGATATGATCGTAACTAGGATGACATTACACGTGCATCTCTTGATGCGCTCATTTTGTAAAATAAGCCGCCACATCGTATATCCAAAATTTCCCTTTTTTTAAAAAAAATTCGTATGGGGGAAATGTTTGGTAATGGTTCACTAAACCATAATGGTGTCTAATCAAAATGAGTGAGAACTAGTGGTGTTACTAGTGACCTTGCCTCCTATAGGCTCTGGGATTTAGGGGTAGTAGCACTGAAAGAAAAGGGGGTGGCTTAGTTATTTATTAGGTCATCTAAACGATGCAAGAAACTTTATAAATTACAATCACCGGTGTATATCTACTAGGTTTAATTAGTTGGACAAATACATCATGCTGACGCAGTGCTGCGATCATGTGTGTTTGAGGCGTGTAATCTTTTAACTACCAACACTTCGCATGGAATTATGGATATACGCTTAAGCACTTATAATACCGCTTCATAGAGTGAGAAAGTACATAATCAATCTCATCATGTTTTACTACGTAAGGAAGTAATATCTAGGATCTTTCTAACAGGATTAGGTCCTTTTGTTTAAGGAACAAAGCTTATTATTAGCACTTAACAAATAAATTGGTGTTGAGATAAAGAACCTCTCTATGTAGTCTACAGTGGCATCTCAAGCACTCACTCTAGGATAATGTTAATGGATATACTGCGCTGTTGATATTATTTAAACACAACTATTAGAATGAGAGATGAATTTCTTAAGCCCAACACAAACTTTTGTCATCCACTTGAATACAAAAGCAATACGAAAAGAACAGTACGATTAGCAGGACCACATAACAAAAAAAGATAAAAAGATAATAAACTTGCTTATGGGCCTTCACTCCTTGATCTTTTAGTCTAATGTCGCTTTTTTTTTCGGAGCTAAACTTAACCCAAATGAACCAACACAGCACATACCAACCACTACAATACCAACCAAAAAACAACGTGTACGGCCCACTTACGATTCTCTCCCCTACCTCCCTCTTGAGGGGAAAAGAATTAGCCAAAAATTAAGGCACTTCCAATAAATAGTGAGCCATACCGAATCAAACCACAACAATTGCCATTTTCTCCACGAACAGCGATAATAGCTATAGAGAAAACGCACTCCAAGCAAGAGAGAAACTGAGAAGCCCAGCACTTGGGCAAATATCCATGGTATTGATTAATAAAATGGTCGTCACCAAATTGAACTCGCTGATATTTTCTTCATCCTAAGTGACTATCAACATTATTGCGCATAAGAAAGAACAAAGGTATACACTTGATCTTATGCAACCTGATGTAGACACTAGTTGACCTTCCAGAAATTTGCAGTGAGATTTAGCTGACAGCCAACGTAAGTTGATTATCCAATGAATAAACACAGATATTTGATTCTAAACAGTCTAATACTAGATCTTTAACATTTCGTTATTTATATAAATGAACATTGGCGAATCTTGCCCTATAAATTAGCTACATATATTAACAATCCCATACATCATGAACATAGATACATTTCGCTAGCGCACGGATTGCTGGATGCTCGGTACTATGGATTTCACAAAGACTTGTATTGTTCGATCAAGCGCGAAGCATGAAGACGTGAGGTTGGAGTGATGGTGCACCCCAATTTCTGTAGGTAGGCAATCTGCAAAGCAAAGCAGTGGAGCAAGCATTAACTGAAGTTGCATTAACTCGTTGATTGTCATACATAGCCTTTTCAGTAAAGATACTTGCAAAGCAAAGAAGCACAGCAAGCATTAACTGAAGTTGCATTAACTTGTTGATTGCCATACATAGCCTTTTTGGTAAAGATACTTGCTGGCATACATAGCCTTTTCAGTAAAGATGCTTGCTGGTAATGAATGAAACTCGAGAGAAGAATGCTCAACGTATTGATGGTGAACATGTGAAGTATGAGAAGATTGAAGAGAGAAAATAGCTGAGCTTCAGTAAAATAGGACAGCATGAAGGCAACAAAGCTATTGCTATTTTATTGCACCGAACTATCTTCCGCTTGCTTACTTCCCTTTTGGTATCTTATTGTTGTTGTGTCTATGGGAAAGGAAAATTGTTGTCTAATATTGAACAGGAGTAAGATACGTAAATATTTAAAGAATAGGGTTAACATTGCACATACATAATATTTTGTTCAGCTTTATGCCCAGTGGGTAGCAAACAAGACTTCATATCTATTTCTTAACTTTTCATGTGGAAAACATGAAGACGCTCATTTGAATCTAAAATATAAAAGAATTAACAGGTGCATGAAATTTGGCAAAACAATTCACTGCTAACTAAAATTCTTTAACACGGGTTTCTACTGCATATTTAAACATTTTATAGGAAATAATAATGGAGTAATAAAGCTAGATCCATATTTCTACACAATAAACACAATCTAGTCCCTATATTCTTCTGTTTCTTTTTACGAGTATCCCTTCCTTTATGAGTATGCATAAATGAAAGGAAAATACTATATAATGAAGATCTAGCCAAAAAAGAGCAAATACACCTACCTGCTTAGGCGTAGCTTCAGATGATCCCATTGAGTTTTCAATTCTTTGTTTTTGGAAATGTTCCTGCATAAATGAAGGGAATACTATATAATGGAGACTTTCCAAAATCTACAATATTGTCATGAAAGTAAGTACTTAGAACAATGAAGCCAAGCAGGATGTTCTATCGACAAGTTTTACAAACGCATATTTGATCTGGTTAAATTATTCATTGTTCTAAATACATTGCTAAAGAGATTCTTTAAAAGTCAGAAATCAACTTGTTACTGAATTAATAGCTTTCCTGCACCTGATTCCTTCACAGGACCTGTATCAAATAACCTAACTGGAGGAATTATGTCAGCTACATTCTTTAAGCAACTAAAAACAGTTAGTTGAGCTCACTTTAAAAAGTGCATGAAGGTTGTGTATTAGGCTGAACTAAGCATATAGATCACATAGTTTCATAAATTTGCATCTGTACTTACATCATCTATACAAAGTAAGAGATCAAGACTTTATTAGCAAAAAAAAATAAAATAATAACTAAATTTAGTATTTGCCTGTTTTTCTCTCATCAAATGAGCACGTGTGTCTACTGGAAGCTGCTCCCATCTTAATACCTGCAGTACGCACTTGTTGTTTCAATTCATTGAAATCTGGATATTTTAGGAGTTATAATCTGAAGCACTTTGCAGCAGTGTTTGATCAGTAATGACAAAAAACTTACATATTGGGCATATTGAGAGGCTTCATCATCAGCCAAATAGGATCTGAGGACTCGCAACACATCCTACAATATCAATTTATTACCAATAAAGATACACTCACTTCTAAGGAAAGGTAAATATACATTTATGCAACAATTTACTGAAGACGTGAATAACTAGAACTTAATAGGGAATAAACAATATATAGAGGTAAATAAAATATTTTAAATTTCAATAATGATGTACTTTAAACTCGAGAGTTCTTGAGATCCACTTCTCGAATATAATGTTAAGATAATGGGTCGTGGGATAAAGTATATCACCGAGTGCAGAATTAGTGTTCCTGTAGCTTTAACATTGCCCATCCTAAGGGCCTTGAAGTCAATGGGAAACTTATAAGAGTGAGTAGATAAATCCCATATCAGTGTGATATTTAAAATGGGCATAAGTATGATTTGGCCAGAGCTTCACAATGGGCAAATAATTCCCATGCCTTTCAGTAATACGAGTTTAACAAAAGATATAGTTACAATATAAGGCAGTCTCCTCGTGAAATACAGAACTCATATAAAAGGCCAAAAGGGAATATTACATAGTGCTGCTAGTGAAGCTTGGTAAAATAGTGCATAGATTAGCGCAATTAATTTCAGGTTTTGAAGCTAATTCGCTATTAACATTAAGTCCTCACTTTCTAACTGCTTTATAAGCCTTATTTCTCTCCATTCATACTTACCAGAAATAACTTTTGCATCTGCATATTGAAAGTATCTATAACAAGGAAACAGATGTTCAACATGAACCAAATAAAGAATTAAATGCACAAGTACTTTCACAAATGAAATAAAAAGAAATTTCATTTCTAAAAATTGATATTTAGATGAACATCCAGAAAAATAATAATCAAAATCAGATAAAAAGGCAAACCTTGTACTTGTAAGTTTTGTTCCTTAAACGCTCATCGATTACGAAGGTTATCTGTAATCACAAGTAGAATAATAACAATCAGGGAACAAACTAAAACAAGGTATTAAGGGTATCACAGTAAAATGATAAGAACATTAGGGATAGCTGAAATACATGAGCACATAAGTTCAAAAACGACATATAAATACACCCTTCCTTAGAGTATCTCGACCTTTGGTCAATTTCAGTATGTATTTTGCTGTATTATATGAGAATTACATTTTAAAACATATGTCACTTCAAAATAGCTAAAGCATATAGTCATTTAGAATACTAGGGAAAACAACAAGAGCAGTATCAAGAAAACTCTCCCTGATCTACTAGCCATAAGCATTACATTTTAATATTTTCCCACACTTACACTTTCTCTTCGGAAAATTCTTGCTAGTAGTTTCTTTTTATCCAGGGAACATATTTTTTGAGAACCTCAAATTATTAAGTGATACATAATCTCCATGTCTCTGGCAATTATAAGTTCTGTTACCATGAACCGTTTTTAAGGGAGGGGATCCACTAATTAATAGCTTTCTTCTTCTACATTCACCAGAGATGGCCTTCAGATACCTTACCTTCCATCTAGTGATCTTTTCTACCTCTTACCAACTATAACTTTTCAAAGTGATAAATAAACATTCAAAAGAACTATTACTAACCTGCTTTTTCTACAATCCTCATCATACTCAACCAAACATAGCCTACAAATGTCTCAGCTCGCCACCAGCAATCTTTTCTCCTTCTTACCATCTTATTCGAAGTGATAAATAACATTCAACGGAACTATTAACCTCTTCCCCCTCCAAGCCCAACCCATGGAAAACATGTAAATATAATCTCAGAATGTTAACAAAAATTCTATCTTGACAGACAACTAGCGTCCTAGCTAACTAAACATGTTATTCTATAAATTTTCTGCATTCCTTTTTAGCAGCAACAGTTTTCAGCTTTCACATTCTATACCATTGGATGCTTTAGCACGTGAAACTGCACGTGAAACTGCATGTGCATGAAATTTTTTTTTTAATCTTTAACTGGAACACTGTTTTAAAAAGCCTCCTCCTAGTACGCCTAGGCCTAGGTGGTACCTAGGCCGCCTAACTAGCGCCTAGCGTCTAGACAGTACTTAGGCTGCCCACCTAGGTTTTACGTGTTTAGGAGAGCATTGTCTGCTTATGTGGACTGCGCCCTGTAGGCCTTGATTGTGATTTTATATGTTGTAGACTACACGTCCTCCAACCTCCTTCAAACTCCATTAACCTCCAAATATGAACACCTCCACTACCTCCTCTAACCTTCAGTAAAACCTCCTTGACCACTACTTAAATGAAAAAAGAAATCCGCTTAGACACCAATCCGACATCTAAGTTTTCTATAACATTGACATTCACTATCAATTATTGTAATTAAAAAATTAAAAAAAACGTTGTAGGCCCTAGCCTTATTAGTTATTATTTTGGCTATTTAATATTTAAATATGCATGATTTATTATGGAACTAAGGTTGCTATCTTTTTTTAAAAGAAAACGCCTAGGTGCCAACTAGGCCTACACCTAGAGGTCTAGGCACTAGGCGCTCGCTCAAACGCCTAGTCCGTCTAGCACCTTCTGGAACATTAAACTGGAATTTGACTGTTGAAGTATATGTGAAAATTGGACCTCACTAGATAGGGAACTGAAAGATAACATGAAGTTTTAACAAGGTGGGTCTTCTAATTTTCTTTTGTCAATGACACCTAGCATGTTTATTTATTTATTTCTTTTTTAATATGACCACGTATAACACATGTCAAAGGTTTGTAGTTCTGAAAGTAGAAAATTTGAAGTTCATTTTGACTGACACAACATAGACAATTGCATGCTCATTTTCAATCTGCTTCCATTTTCTCTTGTTCCTTGTTTCTGTTTCTTTTTTAAATAAGAAAAGGGAGGAAATATAGATAAAGATTCACAAGCAGCTAATTGATAGAGATCCAGAACTAAGAACTAGTAAGGACAATCTTACAGGTATACTTATAATCAGTATGGCATTATGGATTACTGTCGCACCCAAGGTGTCATATATATTAAATACAAAGAATTGAAAATTGATTATAAATTGCAATTAGAGTTGGTTGAGGAGGAACCATGGTAAAATTCCATTGCTAAGCATTCAGTGCTAGAGAACTAGGGAAGCATTACGGTGGATGATCTCGGAAACTCTGCCTGGGGCATTACAATCACAATGAATCCTCTATGGATCAAATTAACATGAACTGTCAAGGGACTGGTTCCACATGTCTAGACAAAGTCACTTGGCTAAAAGAGGGCAATGACGCAAAAAATTGCTAGCTAGTTAGCGAAAGAAAACCCTACCCTTTTTTAAGCATTTTAAGTTGATGAACTAAAAAGGCAAACCGTCCATTTCCACTAGACAGAGGACACTCGAAACAAAGAGGTAAGATGACATAATAGACATAGAGAATTTTCATTCAATTATACACCACAAAATATACTAAAATCAATCACATCAATTGGTTAATCAATTGCGTTCTGACCTTATTAATCCTCAACAAAGTATTCATGTCTTACTTTATCAAGTAACCGTTTTTGATGTTGAAAGGCTGGCTTCTTTGCCCATTGATGGAATAGATGAGAAATGACTGACCTCTCCTCAACATTGAACCTATTAAAATAAAAATAGATTATTGAAACTTTTAAGAGTCAAAGACTGGTATTCAACGGAAAGGATCTTACATATAATTAAAAATTAATATCGAACAAACACCTTTTTAAAAAATTGTTCCCCATTGATAGATCAACCAGTCCTAGTTCATCGTGGCCACTAGAAATGTTCTTAGTCTCTTCAATGCTATGCTTCTGAGCTTCTTTAGGAGATGATTCATGCCCTGATGTGTCAAGAAGGATGTTTACCTTTTCCTCACGTAGGCTCCCATGTCCATTCACAGTTGTCTCACCCTATAATTCAGAACAAGAAGATAGATTGGCTATGAAGAAGAAATGATGTAGAAGATTCTAATCTTTTTTCAAAACCAGGTAGATCAAGTTTTGAGGATCAAAATAATTCCTATAGATATGGCTTTTCATTCATCAAAATAAAATATGGCAGTACATATAAAGTATAAACTCTAAAGTTTGTAAATAGCAAACATGTGCTCATTAATTACATGGTAACCTCATACCAAAATTCTTTGTGGCTCATAATGATCCTCTTCAACTGCCTTCATGATTCCTAGTCCGAAATAATAAACTTGCATCATAAACTTTTCAGTTTCAGAAGCCTACATCTATGTCCAATTACTTTGCCCTAAACTTAAGGACTAAAGAGTGTGAATTCGAGTAAAAATAATAATCCAAAAACTATATGCACGATACCATCTACTATGAGTGAAGCATTCTAATAAATTTTCTGAATTTATACCAAGTTTAAGTGTTGACTTTAATGCAATTTCTTAAATTCTAGCGTGTCCATGTACCCTACATTTTACAGTTTTACCGTGTCCCGTACCCGCACCCGCACCAGTATCCGTGCCCGTTTCCATGCAACTTAGCTGCATAGCATTGATTGTCAAATAAATACCATACTAGGGAAGGAAGTGCCCAGGTTGTTTTGGGAAGGGATTTATTTATGTTTTTTATTTTTTATGGTCTAGTAGAAGAGAAGGAAACTGAGGGAGTGGGGACTGGGGATGGAAGTGGGACCCCTTGATAGCATCAAGTTTTAGGTATGAGAAAAGAGCTTTCCTAGAATTAGGGTTTTGGATCTTATACCATGTTATGATGAAAAATTCTCTCTGAATACAGATCTAATCAGGTTATATCCGTAGTAAAACAAATAAGATACAATTTATTTGTTACCAATGGACCCAAACAAACTTCTCTAACTTCCATGATATGCTAGATACTTTACTGGTAACATACAGCTGCAATGGAGACTCTAATCAAAAGGTATGAAAGGAGGATACTAGATGTTGACCACATCTTAACATGCGCGGGAATACATAAGCATCAGATGTTTGGCAGAATCAGATCCATGTTCTGTTAACTATGCAGTTATACATACAGAATGTGGCCAAGATCTTTCAAGAGGCAAGAAAAATAGTTGGAAAGAATAAAACCTCGGCGTTCAGATATGCGCAGGCATCAGCTTCCCAATATCTAAAGAGTTATAAATCAAAGATAGCAAGGTGATCATAAGCCTCGGAAAGTGACCCCAATAAATTTTTAGAAAGGTTGTTTATTGTTATTTTTGTTCAAAAAATGATTGTAACTCAACAGTTCACAGCAGAAATAAAAATATATAAAAACTTTGTTATAGTTTTAAATTTTAAAATTTTCTTAAAATTTTAAATGTGGCTGTACAAAAAAGAACCAACTTATAATTCTCACCTGGAATTCAATAAGATGACTAGGGATTTCCTTTAGAAAACGAGAAGGCTGTAGCAACTGAAACAAAATATTTGTAAATAGAAAAGCTTGAGTGTGTAAACCGAAGTTCAAATTTAAACTCGCATCAGCATGAAGACGGGCTACCTGCCAGTTAGAGTCTACAGTAACATATAAGACGTACAACTTTTTCCGTGCACGGGTCATTGCAACGTATAGCAACCTGCGCTCCTCCTAGAAGATTCCATTCATGCATGTGCAGGCAACATAATAAACAAGTGTTATTGCAAACAAATGGAGGAAAGAAGTGTCAATGAAAAAAACAAATTCACCTCGAGGGTTGTCCCACTTTCTTTCACAACACCATTATGCTCATGCAGCAAAGGGATTTCTGAGTCATTTGCCTGAAAGGAATAATAAGGTTGCATTCATTTTCATCTTGACATACCACATATGGAAATCATCCAATAAGTTTAGCACCTGTCTTCTATAGATTAGATGAATGCAAGAATACACTGTGAATTGTCATCTAGGCAATATAAAATGTTCGCAGAAAGAGAATAGTGAATACTTGATATCACAATTGACAATTCCAATGCCAAATAGATTAGAAGAATAAGATAGCTCTAGAAAACTAGTCCTCGTTATTGGTCATCTACATGAGCTTTGAATAACAATTCTTACAACAAAGGATTACTTGCTGTTTTCCGGATTCTTTTTGACATATAATGACAGGAAAGAAGGTAGGAATGAGTTTGTTTCTACGCTATTTTTAAGGAACCAATTGGAGTGATGTGTAATATAAATCACACATAATAAGAGAATTCAATAGATATACATGAATTACACCAAGTAAAGGGGAAAAATCAAGACCATCAAATGCTATGTGAAAAATAAAGACGATAAGCATGAACTTTGACACTGATGACATAAGAAAGCCATTGTACACCATAGCTATTATCTTGGATTTGAGGACTTCTTTGTTTGTTTCGGAAAGCCACCAGAATCCAAAATCTCTATCAATATTACCAGAAAAACATTAATAATATACTGATGGTGTAACAAAATAATGCTACTTTGGAAACATCAAACATGTTAGGATATATGATGGCAGTCATCACAGTCATTTAAGCTTTTCCCTGTCTGAAAAAGTATATAGATGAATAGGTAAAACAATAATGTTTTCCATGGGAAATGCAATGATCTCTAAGGTGCACGCAAA